GGGTCATTATTTGTTCACTCTTTTGTTGAGTCAAAAATCTGCTGGGCCCCAGCACACACCAGGTGCTGTTCTGGGTGCTGGGGATAGAGCAAAAGGCAAAGCAGAGGGCGCTGTCTTCACGGAACGTTCAAAGGCAAAATGCACATGGCTAAGGGAGAGTGAACGCAGGAGCACAGCCGATGACTCAGAGGAAAGGCAAGCAGGCAGGGTGAGGAGTGACAGGGATTAAGGGCTGCCCTTGTAAATGGGTCATTTTCAGTGACAGGTCTAAGGAGAAGGTTAGGGTTGTACAAAAGAGCTACAGAAGCAAAGCAACAGGCTCAAAAGTCCTGAGGTAGGCATGTTCCTAGAATGATCTCCCTATTTTCAGTTAAGTGCATACACTGCTACATGGCCATCTGAGATGGTTGCAAGACAGTGTGTAACAGTTGCCTCCATAGAAGCCAGTACTTGCAAAAATGGAACTTGTTCAGGAAGCTGTTAAGGGGGCAGAGAGCAAGGCCCCACACTCCTACACATGCCCTCTTGCAGAGCCTTTAGCCCTTGGCTTCTGGGAACTCATGGTTCAGACAGCAGGGATTGAGTACCCCTCTCCTGACTTGGGAAAACAGGACACTGGACTCCAGGGCAAAGGGGTAGTTGGTAGGGGTCATGGGGAGATAAGGCACCAATATGCAGCCACTATTGCACAGGCTGGGGGAGGGAGGCAGGCAAGAATGACTGTGGTCACTGTGCATTCTTGCCTCATGCCCATGTTCCTTATGCCCTGGATTCTCTCCATTAAGTCCCCTAGGATGTAGAAAGGAGACTTCTCTGACATAAATTAGGCCATGAGGGTTCACACAATGGGAAAAGCCAGAACTAGGAACTGTTGAATGCCAGATCTGGTGCTCTTTCTACCAGTGCAGGCTGCCTTGACGCAGTGGTGGAGTTACTCAGGTCACTATTACTTGAGTGTGCCCTTTGGGCCCCTGAGCACCTGCAGCTTATGAAGACCCTCCTCTGCCATAACCCTATGTGACCCTCCCCACTCTGAGAGACCTACAGGCCAAAGTGGGATCTCCTGTTTCCATGAAGCTCTCAAGCAAACCAAAGCCAAGAGACCAGTGTGACCAGGAAGTGGCAGATCTGAACCTAGGAAGTGAGTCCTACTGCATGAACTTCTGTTTACAGAATTCGCAGATGCTAGATCTGACTCCTGTTTGGCAAGTCTGGCTCAGGCCATCTAGCAAGCCACATGACTGATCACCTCCCTGGCCCATCCCACATGGAGACTTTGTAGCCACAGTCAGACTTCTTCCCACCCTTCCCTTCCCCAGCTAGGGTCCTGCCTGCCATAGGATGCTAGACCTGGGTCTGGTATGGTGCCTGCTCTTCACACCCTGGACAGCTCCCCATTCACCCATTTATCCTCTGGGCTTGGAAAAAGATGAGCCATTCTCTCAGAGGCAACCCTGGACTATATGCCCTGGGTCCGTCCTTCTTCTCCCCCTTCCAACCTCAGAAGCCATGCTCCAACTCTTGACCTCCAGGACCATGGTGCCTCCTCCCCGATTCCATTAAATCACCAGCAAAACCCCAAAAGATTTAACAGGCTCTCAGAGTGTCCAGAACTCCCTGTCTCAAAGAAGAAGAAAATAGAATAAAATAACATACAATGGAAATGAATAGCATAGAACAGAATAGGAAATAGCAGAATGCTTTGCATACTGTAAGGATAAGGATTATTTCTTAGCAGTTTTGCTTCAATTGTGTATGCATGGGTGTGAGTAGGTGTGCTATCCTGGGTCATGATATAAGGTGTGTCTTGCATGCATTTTGGTCACTTGTAATCCCCTGCCTTGGATCTCAAGCCTCCTCAACAGTCAAAACACTGTCTGGGATGCCTGCTTCTTTTCTCAGCATGTCTGGGTTCGACTTGGCTCCTGACTCAACTTCCTGCTAATCTGAACCCTTGGAGCCAGCAATTGATAGCCCAAGTACTTGGGCCCCTGCCATACATGTGGGAGACCCAGATGGACTTCCTGTTTCCTAGTTATTTCAGCCTGGTCCAGTCCAAGCTGGGCATTTGGAAAGTGAATCAGTGCATGGAAGAACTCTCTTCTCTGTGCCACCCTGCCTTTCAACTAAATTTAAATAATAAACAAACAATAAGTAAAATTCTCTTCTGGAAAAAAATCCTGGCAGAAACACGGGCCCTCACCACCTGCTTTTTGTCTTCATCCAGGCCCTGCCTCCTTACACCTGTCATAGATCTGTCCATATCAGTGACTCCTATTTCAGCATTTTCTTAATCCAGACTCTCAGGACTGTCCCTTCTTTGTGGCTCACCAGATAAGTCCTTTCCCTCAAGCTGTGACTTTTTTGTTATTCCTTCTTCTCTTTAGACACCCTCTTTTCCCAGTCACTGGTCTTGAACCCCATGTGCACAAGTCCTCAAATCCAGATTCTCACCTTGCCTATGATGGAGACAGTCTCCATGACCTCTGGAAAGTCATTGTGTGCAAAAATGAGCCATCATGACATCAGCCAACAGCCCAACCCGAGCTGTGAGTCGAGAATGTTACTTCAACAGCCAAGTCTGAACCCCAGTCAAAACTGACCCAGAACCAATCTTCTGGGAGTGTTCTGGCTGGCATGCTCCCTTCCCCCAGCTTCCCCAGTGATGATATCTTACACAACTACAGCACCACATCAAAAGCAGGTACTGAATTCCATATGATCTGTGACGCCTATTCAGATGTCCCCCATGTGCTGGCACTTGAGTGGGTGCTTCAATGGCTTTGTGCATTTTCAGTACATGATAGCCTCATGCAATCACCAGTACAGACAAAAGACTTAATTGGTTGTTCACCCTCCACTCTGAACTCCTGGATCTTTCTTTTATTCATTTATGTATCTTAGAGGTAGAGAAAGAGAGAATGAGGTAGGAAGAGGAGAGAGAGAGAGAAAGCAAAAGAACAGAAAAGCAAACCTTTTTGTGTTTGTTTGTTTTACTGTCCAAATGCACATGATAGCCAGGATGGGCCATAGATAAAGCTCAAACTGGAAACCAATCTGAAAAGAATTTAATGACTTGAGTTTATCACTGCTGCCTCTGAGGGAGGCACACCCTAGGGGCCAGCAGACAGTAATGCAAGTGTTTGGACTCTGCTACCCATGTGACTCCAGCCCCCTGACAGCTTCTGGTCCTGCTGCATTGGCCTCCTCATCCTCTTCCCTTTTTCAGTATCTTCCTAGCTCCAGCCAGTGTCACAGAGCAGGATCAGAGCTCTTCATTGCACAGCTTATAATACATCATTCCTTTGATTCAAGTTCTCAATGCTTATGACCATTTACTAATTAAAGGTCAAATGTGCTAAATCCAGGTATGAAATCCTTTACATACGACTCACATTCTTTATCTAAATTTCTCAAATTCAGTCTTTGCTTTTGTACTTTTTCCACCTGAATAAAGGCAAGAATCATCCTTAAGGCCACACCATGGAGAAAATGAAAGGTTTCAGGATTTATTTCTCCCAATGTTTCATCCTCTCCTCTCTTGTGAATACGAGGAAGGGCAACAGAATTGGACCCAGATGCCTCTTGTTGGGGGATGCCCTTAACCTTGGAAGACTGGCTGTTCCATCCCTTGCCTCCTTGCAACATAGCGGGTGAGTAGAAAGGTGTGGTTGGTGGAACAGATGGGTAGGGTTCCTGCAAATGTTTGGATCAGCCATTGGGAACTAAAAGGTTTCCAAGGTATCCAGTGCCTGAGTCCCAGGTCAGGTGATGGCAGGTGGCCATTAAAGTAGAGGCTGGATTTCAAGCTTCCTCATGATGAACAATCTCCTCCAAACATCTCGCCTCCTTGCTATCAGCCTTGGTCCAGCTCCTCCCTTGGGTGCCCACAGAACAGGGTTAAGTGATTTGTGAGCACTGCCTTTTGGAAAACTCTAATCCTTGTCACTGCACTGCTCCTACACTTCTTAACTCCCATACAATGATAAAAACCCAAAAGAAAATTCATTGGCAGAGATTAAATGCGCTTCAATTATCTGATATGATTCAGTTTCAATTGATAACAAATCACAAATTGCCCATCTCATTACAGCAACTGATTCATTTGGAAATTTACCACCTGACAATGAAAGGAGCTTCAAAGATAACACTGGCTGGAGACCCAGCAGTCTATTTTTAAAAATCATTCATTATCAGGAGCATATTCATTTACATGGTCTGGTCAAAGGGACTGGCTTTTAAGCTTTTTTAGTGCATGGTCTTTCAGTTTGGAGAGTATCATGGGAATGCTCTTTGCAGGGACAGGAGAATCAGGGCTCATGGGAGGTATCAAAGCAATTGGACCACTGGTGGTGGCTAAAGAAGGAGTTAACAATGTGAAAATGTCAGAAGGTGTTGCAGGCCACTCCAGATCTTGCTAAGTAGGAGTCAAACAAGGAATAGGGAAATTGGCACTGAGGCTATACATTCAGCAGATAGCTCTGTTGCTATCTCAGGTGACACATCCATTACCATCTGCACCATCAACACTACTGTGACAAAACGCCACCTGCAACATTCCTCCCCCCAACCAGCATCATCACCACTGCAAAGACATCACCTATACCATCCATCCCCTCTGCTACTCTAACACTGCAAAGACATCAAAGAACAATCTGCTAGGCAGAAGTCATACAATGCCTCTGAGTGAAACGATGCTTCCTAAAGAATTCACTGCCAAGTTCATGGAACATTTGGTGGGAGTGGAGGTCAAGACTTTTTACCTTGAGGGATAGTGGAGGACAGTACAGCCAGCCAATGCAGAGTAAACTGAGGTACTGCCGCTCCCCAACCCCCACCCTGGGACACAGGGAGAGTCCACCTATTGGAGTGGACCATCGGGAACATTGGCTACTTGACTCTCCCACCTCTGGGTTGATACCATTGAGAAGGAGAAACCCTGGAGAAGCAGTGATATCAGGCAGGGATCAGGGACAGGGCCTCGGGACCTAGGTGCTTACCATTACTGCTGTTGTCGTCCACCAGGATGATCTCCTTGAGCAAGTGTGCAGGCGTGCGCTCGATAGCGGAGTGGATGGAGCGCAGCAGCACTGAGAGTGCCTCATTGACAAAGATGAACACGATGCTCACCTCTGGCAGGCTGGCAGGAAACGAGAGGTTGCGGCACCTGGAGAGAAGGAGGGCTCAGCTCTGAGATCTGCCAGTAACTTGGCTGCAGTCACCCTGGGTACCACCCCAATCCCACCCCATTTTGCCATGGATTTGCAGGAGGGCTCAAGAATTTAGATTGTTTGCTGAATGTGCAGCAGGGAGGTCCACACAGCTGAAACCAGTGTGATCCACAATTAAGTGTGAATTTCCCAGCAGTTCTCACAACTGAACAGTTTTACCATAAACTCCTTGTGCAGCACATCGCACTGGGCATGGAGTCTCTTCATGTCTGCTTGAAGAATAATTTGATGCTTCTAGACCAACAAGATGGAAAAGTCAACCAAAAGAAAGTCTCAGTGTTTCTAAGTGGCAACCAACACATCCACGAGAAGCCAGTCAGCCTCAAGAAGGAAACAGGTGATGTCTAGTGCCCACACCCACTCCTTCACTCTCAAAGGCAGACTGCCTGGGCCCTCCTCCCCCTCACTCATACAGGGATCCAGCCTCTGGAATAGGACCACAGCTACTGTCAGTTGTAGCTCAAATGATAGAAGGAAGGATCCAAGATGAGGACATGAAGGTCCAAATGGCTTGAATCCCCACCCCCTGCCTCACCCATCTCTGGTCTCATGAATGTTCCCAGGGTGCCTCCCCAAAAGGCAAAAGGTCAAAGAGAAGGCTCTTCTGACTTTGCTGAGCCTGACTGACACAGTCACTCAGAAATCTCCCACCAAAGGATTGGAGGCATCTTCCAACACTACACACCCTGCCCTAGAGCACTATAGGGTGCTCGCACAAGACCCCAGAAGAGGCCAGACACTGTGAAACCCCAGTTTCCAAGGGGACCACACCTTCCCTGACAAGTGCTGCCTTCTTTTAGTGATAAAGGGGTGGGGCAGCCAGCACAGCCCTGACCCAGGCACTACTATCTGCACAAGAGGCTGTAGGAAATCGATGGCCCATGACCTCACTCCATTGCTCCTGAGTGGGAGATGCGGTGATGTTAGAATGTGCAGCGATGAACATAGTAGCACAGTGCCTGAGCTTGCTGATAATTAAAGTGCTTCAGGATAGCAATGGGCCTGCTCTCCCTTAATGAGGAAGGCTGCAGGGGGACCAACACCGAGCAACTGGGAGAAATCGCCACGGGGCCCCAGCTTGCTTAAGAGCAGGAGATTAATAAACAGAAGTCATCATCACTATGGTTACCAGAAACGTACAGAAACTTCTCCCATTCTATTTCCAGCTCTCCTTTTCTCTCACCAGAGGGAAGGAGGGGAAGTGAAAGCATTGAACCATTTTCCAAATTTACAATTTTAATAAAATCATCAAGTTAACACACTGGCACAGAGTGGGCTCATGCCTGGCCTCAATGGGACAAATATTTAGTGAGCCGCTTCCATTGGGTTGGTATCATTGATGGTGCTGGGAACCTAGCAGGAGGTAGGCAGAGTTTCTGTCCAGGTGGAGCTTCTGCTCTGACCAGAAAGACAGATGGACACAGAAGTAAATGAATGAGGCACTGTACGTCCAGCAAAGCAGACCCAGAGGACTGTAGAAACACACTGGCAGCTAAGAGGAGTGTTCAGGAAGTGGACAACATAAATGGCGCCAACGGGTGACCTGTGCAGAGGCCCTGTGGGGCTGCAGACAAGGGACCCATACACGCAGCTGCAGGGAAAGCATGAAGGGAGGAAAAGTGGAAGGAGAGCTTCAGTCAAGGTGGATGACCACAGAAGCTCATCAGACCCTTTCAAAAACATTTGCTGCTGCTGCCATTGTCAATACACTTTTTCTGACCTTGGTGAAAAGGCTTATTTTTGACTAGGTGCTCTAAGTAGTATTTCTCTGTAAAGATAGGGCCTACTAGCTGGGCTTCTGCCAGGTGACAGGAGCAGAGCTGAGCTGAGATTCCTGCACAGACCATTTGCTAACAGCCAAACAAAGAGCACATAGTCTTGTTCTCTTTATACCCAGGTGTAACTGTTCTCAAGAAGGCCAGCATACTGGGGTGAGCTGGCTGTCCTCCCTGCTAAGCCACCCTCATTGAAGGCTGTGGCCCTTGGTCTCTACATGCGTTTGGGAGTTTTCTCCAAGGTCTCAAAAGCCCCATGCTCTGGAGCTCCTGGTGCTTTACAAGTATTCTTCAGAGTCAGGTGCCACCTGCCTGCTCCCGTTGTCACCACCTTTGAGTTCTGACTGGAACCACCTGGCCTCCACCTTCCATGCAGAACAGGGTTCTCCTCTCCCAGCAAGCAGCCACAAAGACCTGATTTGCTGGCCTCTGCAAGCCTGGTGATCCTTCTCCAAGTGCAACTGAAATGTTCTATTTGCTTTTCAGCTTTCACTCTTGCCAATTATTACTATTGTCATTGGGAAGATTTATGAATTGCAGGTTTTTAATCGGAAGACTCCTTGGCATGTAACTGAACACTTGGGCTATTGCATCATCATCACATATGTAATGGACTGCTCCCCTCTACTCCCATGCAGCTCCCTGAGATGGGTGATCCCACTCACTACTCACCTTAGCCCAGGGTATGGCACACAGTAGGAACTCATCTAAGCTGAAGTGAGTTTGGTTGAGCAGTGAAGTGCTGGGTAAGTGGGATAAGAAAGGCCAGGCATTTAAGGAGACAGAACTGGAGAGGGAATAAAGGCACCCAGGCACCAGTTCCAATCCTGCTCTCTGCAAAGAGTGACACGAACCATTCTCTTCCCCTCTTCACTTGCCTTCATCAGAGAAGGGGTTCTAGGAAGAAATCATCAGGTTTAGGGTCTTCTATCTCACAGCCCTTTAGGGATCAAGCTCATCAGCCCTTTTCCGTCCCAACTAGCACCTTATCACCAAATGCTCTTCTATGACAGGACAACCATCCCAGCTTAGCTTGACCAAGATCTTTCCCATTTAGCACCAACAAAGCTATGGTAACTGGCCCACCAACTTCCTCAGGGCAAGAACTGGCCTTATAGCTTCTTGCCATGCCATTGCTACTCATTGAATGAGTTCTCCTGAAAATTCCCCAACCCACACATCCACACCATGTCAATATATGGCCACAGTTCCTATCTTCACTTCAATGTTGAAGCAAGGGGCTAGAGTTGTGAAACAACAAGTTAAGCCACCACATGCAACATTGGGAACACGGATTTGATTCCTAGCCATTCTGATGTCCATCTAACAACACCCTGTTAATGTGGCTTGGAAAGCAGCAGCAGATGGCTCAAGGACTTTAGATCCCTGCCACCCATGTGGAAGCCCTGAGTGGAGTTCCAGGATACTGGATTGAGCCTGGCCTAGCCTGAACCCAGCTCTGGCCACTGAGGCATTTGGGGAGTGAACCAAAGAATGGAATATCTCCTTATGTGTTTCTCTCGCTCCCCTCTGTGTATCACTATGCCTTTCCTATATACATATACACTGTAAATTGAAGCACAGATTACATTGCTGAGGCAAGGAGACCAAGAGTGGGAAGAACACACCCAAGTGAGATGTATGTGCACTTGTCAGGCTAAGCAGCTCAGAACAGTCACTGGACTGCAGCTTTTGTCCTGCAGCAGGAATACCTCCAGTACTGCCAAGGAGTGCTGCCACTCTGGAGTCCACTACTTGCTTCACCTGCAAGACCAGTGCTAGGCACGTGGACTTCACCACTTGCAAGTGCATCACTGACACATTCTCCCATCCACACTCAGGTCCTCAGCATGTGGCCACCAGCTGCTCTGTTCTATACCCCAACTCTACTTCTCCCAGAGCCATACACCCCCTGCCCTGCATGGCTGCCTCTACACCTGTGCTTTTCCATGGGTTTCTGTGGAGAGGGTTGATTGATGTGGAGCCCCAATGAGCCATGCAGGCACAATGAGCCCTTCTCTGAGCTCCCTGAAAATACTTCACTGTACAAGGCTGCTCCCCATCCATTTTCTGAAGAGGCACACGCTCCTGTAAAATTCAGCCATAAACATTTTCTTCTTACTTTTATTCTTGGTCGGTCAAAGACAAGCCATTTTTCCCTGGAGATACACACACACACACTCACCATTTCTTCAGGGGGAAGGACAAGGCTGTCTGCCACGCTGGAACTGATGGCCATGCTAAACCCTGCCCACAGAATGGGACACAGAAGGAGCAGGGTGGGATAGGGTGCATCAGCACAGCCTCCCTGTGGAGCTCCCCCAAGTTGTCACAGGTTGTTAAGGAGGCAAGGTTTTATCCAGAGCATCAGAACCATTTCCTACCAGAGGAAGGAGAGCCAGGGAGGTCCATGTGAGGCTATGCTGGGCTCCTGCCCAGGAAGTAGCCTGACACCAGCAGGTGCATTCTGTATCTCCCACCTGGCTTGGCAGGGCCTTTCCACCCTTGGGCCTCAACAAGTCTATGGGTCTGAATCCATCAGAACAGACGAATGACAGAGGCTGCTGGGCAGGCCTTTTCCAGAATGAAAAGCAAAGTAGATTATGAACTGGGGTTTGTTTGCCAGGATACACTGGGAGCAGGGTCTAACTGTTTCAGGGCCCCAGGACTGCACAGGAGTGACTTATCTGGATGAACCAGGTGAGAAGGTGACATGGCTGGGTTGTCATTCCTTGAGGGTATTCTCCTACCTCCTAATCTTGCCAACTTTGACCTTTCCCTCCCAGCTAAGGTCAGCACATACATGGGTTTACATGTACATTAACCACCTGGAGAATAAAGCTAGGGCAACAGTGTGGTCTCAGCATGAGCAATGTCTTCCTTGCTCTTTGTGGCTACTGGCATCTTCACTCCAGCTTTCCATCTTCTCACCTGAGCCCTCAGGACTGGCAGGATCCCCTGTTCTCACTTAAGCACACATCCAGCTTCTTTCACCCCTTTCTTGGTTAGAGAGACTGCCAGGCCTGTTAGCTTCCACCTGGCAGCACTGAATGAAACCCCAGGATGTGGGCAATGTGTGGATTCCTGTGGACCATGAGGCCCAGGAAGATTTCTCCCCACCTCCAGCTGTGGTTATTTCCACAGCTTCCACAGCAAAGGGA